TTTTCGTTTCCAGTTCGGAGGAATAAAAGGCTATTTGCGTTCACGTAGTTACATTATGTATGTTAGGTTTGTGAACGTTTGGACTTTAAACTCTTTAAGATGCACTTGTGAATGTAAAAAGATATGAAAAATAGAGGTTGCCTTTAGGCGACCTCTTCGGGACATGCCCGGGTAACAAGGATGGTGTCGCTTCGCAGGGCAATATTGCTATTGAATGAGTCCAGCAGTTTTCAGTCTCAATGCCTCACTTAACCCGCGCATGACTGGGGGGGGGGGGTCTATAGAGCCCCCTCCCGTTTTTCAGCAATATTTTCTAAACCGTTTGACGGATCAACACGAAACTTGCGGTACCCTCAGAGGCATCAATTTGACACCTTGTGTTAAAATTTCAACTTTCTAGCTACCATAGTTTGGCCGGAAATGACGTCAGAGTGACGTCATGTCGGCCGATTTTCATGCAAAATAATGAATTACGGCAAACGCTCTCAAGAGCTCACATCAGTTTTAACCCTATTAGTGGCAGGCTCCTGGCTACCCCATATTAGTGGCAGGGGGGGGGGGCTGTTTACGACCCCCCCTTGATATCTCGAGATCTAACGGGCCGATTTTCAAAATTCAAACGGCATTCGATTTGGCTCAACGAGATCTACATTTCTAAAAAAAAAAATAAGATTAAAAAATGTCAATAGGGGGGTAGAGGGGGGTAAAAAAGGGCAAATTGCAGATACATTTTAGACTGTTTATCACGGCCAGGTTTCTGAACCAATCTTAACGCAACTTTTGCCGATCGATAGAGAATGAACCAGGAATTCACATGGATCCTAAAGATATGCATTTTCAAAAATCATAGGCGGATACAGATCATTGAGATTGGGGGTACACAAAAAGTATAGTAAATAAGGTTTTTATTAAGGTTAGTATAGTAAATAAGGAAACAGTACCAACATTGGTACTGTTTCTAAAAAGGGTGGCAATGGTCTTGTTATGTTACAATTTTCTTATGAGAGAACGACTAAAATTGTATTGGTTATGCATAGGCGGTGTCAGGGCACCTATGTTGGGAGGTAAAAAAATAACCCCCCTTTTTGGACGCCTGGATCCGCCTATTATAGCAAAAACGTGTCAAAAGAGGATGCACAATAACTTTGTATATGTTATCACATGATACCTTTCATTCACTGTTCGTAAAACTGGTGCAGCATCGTGATCTTCGCCCAAATGACTCGCTTCACGAATTGGACCCCCCAATTCCCAGTGCTCTGGAGCCGCCCCTGGTAACGTTATGAACTTGAAATTTTCAGGGAATGTGCCCAGTTTAGTTTTAGGAAAAGTCAGAAAATTTCAGCATCGTAGCTTTAGCGGTTTCGGAGATATTCCCGAAAAACCTGAGGGGTGGATAAAAACAACCCCCCTGCCACTAATAGGGTTAAGGCTAGATCCATTTTCTTTGCATGAGTGGACCACAAATACACGTAGCTATCAAACTGCTATCTCGAATTTTCGAAATTTTGAAAATTTTGAAAAATATGTATTTACAATTAGGTACCAAAAAAAAAAAGATTTTTTTCAAAAAGTTTTTGACTTTTCGCAAAAACAGGAATATATGTGATAGAACACACACTGATGAACTACCTTTGCAAGTTTTATCCCAATGTCTTCAAAAATAGCCAAGTTATTCGCATTATTGTCAAAATTTTACAATTTTGTTTTTTCAGATCCATTTTTGAGTACGTTTTTGACATCGTACAGCAATCTAAATGGCACCATCGTGTTCCTGAGCTCAAACTGCCTCTGATAGGTACCTTTTTTGTGAAAAAATTTAATTTTAAAATTTGACCTTTTCTGACCTGAAAGTGACCTGACCTCCGGTAAATTCAGCTGACAATGACCTCAAATGCCACAGACGACACTATTTTCGAAAGCTACGAGTAAAATGGACCATAAAACATGCGTCACGTGACCGATACATGATATACAATTTTCGTGACCTAGGATGACCTGGCCTTTACCTTAAAAATTCTAAGTAAAAGTTCGGTACCCTCAGTGTATCTAAGGCATCCGTCAAGGAGTGCGTAAACCAAAAATGAGCCTGATCGGACCGGCGGTCCGGCGGTCAGAGCCTAAATTGTGAACTAGCAAAAATGTCGATAATTTTTACTTTGACTTGACCTGTGACGTCATCGGTAACCTCGAGGTCAATGAAAATAGGTTTCGTTCGACAGTTTTTCCAGGGCTATCAGGCACGGTTTAATTTTCACGATCGGCCTAGTAGTTTTGGAGATAGGAGGGGGGCTCTGGATAGCCCCCCCCCCCCCCAAGTCACTCGCGTTATGGAAAATACTCCAGTCATGCGCGGGTGAAAGGCTGAAACAGACTCTTTCCGCGTTTTGGAAATCGCATGCAAGAGCCTATTCAAATACGTTACCTATAATTCTTCCCGCATCAATCGCATCCGGAAGGTGCGTGCGATTGATGCGAGCGTGCTTCCATGTATTTGAATAGGCTCTCGCATGCGATTTCCTGACTGCGGAAAGAGTCTGTTTCAGGCTTAACCCGCGCCCCGTAGGGCTATCGGCGGAACTTACCACCCGTAGGGGGGTCGTTTCGGCCCCCCTAAGACCTCGGAAAGTTACCGGCCGATTTTCAAAATTCAAACGGCGTTGGATAGTCCTACCATTGAACTACCTTGTACTTAAATTTCATTTGCCTCCGTCCAAACGATGACAATACAGGTCAGGTCAAAGGTCGAATTTTCACCGTTTACAGAGGCATTTCAAGAAATGTGTTGTAAAATCGAGTAAAAGGCATGTTTTTGGAAATCATCGATGGTACATTGTTCGTCAAACACATATTTTGCTACTTGAGGTCATTGATACCAGGTCAGGTAACAGAGGTCAGGTCGCTAAGGGTCACAAAACGAAAGTGTCGTGTGATAGGTAGGGGAAGCGGGGGTAACACCGCCCCCCTAAGCTTTTCGCCAAAATGAGAGAATATGTGTGAAGTCTCTTGGTAGTTATTGTTTTGGTTACAATATTTAAACATTTTCTCACGTGTTTTAGGTACTTATTTTGCATGCTCCTAAAAGGTTTTCATGTATCACGACTTTTAAAAATACCTTGCATATTTGCTGCCTACAAATTGTGTGGGTAACCCCGCCACCGGTGTTGATGTTAACCCAGCCCATTCCTACGAAAGCTTTTAATTGTTCAGAGATCGTGTGCGATGAGTTTCCTGTCGGTAAGTGGTAATTTTCGCAAATAATCGGTAATGGACACCTAAATAGGTATAGGTTCATCAGCTGTTTGCCAGTTTTATACAGCTGGCAAGTGCTTGGTCGGGATGCATGAAAAATATCAAGTAAAAAATCAAATAAGCTGCTTATTCCCGACTTAGGAACATCTACGAACATAAATAAAGCGTGTCTTTGGAGTTTCATCACTTATCACGCTACAAACAGGAAACACCGCAACCTCAATTGGGGTAACACCGCCACGGGGTGGCGGTGTTCCCCAATAAGTGATCACAAGCAAAAATCGCCAGCGGTAAGAATGTACTACACGGTTCAAGCAAACTTATCTTACTGGACAAAGCCGATCAGTTATTTTTCGATGTAATCAAGTACCTAAATCAAAATGAGTCTCTACTTAAAGACATTCAAAAGTGCTCCCAACTCATCGAATTTTTATAAGAGAATGTGCATTTTTCTTTAAATGCCCACATTGAGCTTCGATTACACTGAAACACCGGAACACAAATCAGAAGACGCTTACCTTCGTGCGGTCAATAGGAAATAACGGATTTTTACACTTCACATTTCATACTTTCGCCGCCAGATGGGGTGGCGGTGTTTCCCACAGTGGCGGTGTTACCCCCGCTTCCCCTACATGTTTTAGGGTCTATTTTACATAACAAATCCGAATATGTGGGTCAGGCAGCCTTTGGGGCCAGCTTATGCTATGTTCTGGTGAAGGTCAGGTCAAGGTCAGGTCAAATTAGGTGAGATTTTAAAGTTGCTATTTTTGCATAAAATGGGTAGGTATCGATTCGATGCAGCTCGTCACAGGGAGTCTAATGGTGGTCTTTGTTTTGCGCTACGTAGTCTAGAATTGCCAAAAAATGAGTTTGAAAATTTGACGTCATCAATTTTGAACAGTGTGTTTGCTATAACAATTGGCCAAAAAAAGAGGTAGGTACCTACCAGTCTAAAATTAGGTATGTAGACAGAAGGTGGAAGGGACTATCATATATGTTCCGGTTGTTTCGAAATTCGGAAAAAAAATTGGGATTTTTTGTTATTATATAAAAGATATATATATTTTTTTACTTTTGGGGGTCAAAATCCAAAACATGTCAAAAATCCGAGATAGCAGTGAGATAGCCCTGTTAGCTCTACACCTTTTATGTCTTGAACATTTTTATGTATCTTTAAAGCTGTAGGCCTGACAGCTCTTCCCGCGAAATCATTTTTTGGGTCGAAAATGACAGAACATGACGTCATTTTGACGTCATTTGCGGCCAACCTATCATAGCCTCCGATTTTTTGTCACAATGTGTAAAATTGACACCCGGAGTCTTTCTGAAAGTTTGGTGACGATAGATGCAGTCGTTTAGGGGATATTGACTAGAGATGTCAATCGGATATCAACTTTTTGGTATACCGATGATACCGAACCGATACCAACTTGGTATTTGGTATTTCAAGGCTAATGCATTTGGTATTTTGTTGGTATCGTGAATCGTCGCTAATGTAAAAGAGGCTGTGAATTCGGTAAAAAGTTGGTAGGTATTTCCCTCAGTTTCTGAAATTGGTTTGGTTTTGGTATTTTCCTATGGTTATTGTTGGTAGGTATTTGGTTTGATATCGGTATCACGATTTTCTGTAACTGACATCACTAATATTGACGGAAAAGACAGGGGGGCCATTTCGCCCCCCCCCCCCACGGGACGCGGGTTAAGCTGCTCCAAAAACAGCTTCTTGGATAATAGCGAATACTGACCGTTCAGCCCGTAACGGGAAGTGTGAGCTTTGAAGAAGGATGTGTGCCTCCTGATGGTAGATCAGAGGTCCGAAGGGTTAGATCGACTCATAGGGAGCCCGGCTGACAGGGAGTCTGACTCAGAGGGAGCCCGGCTGACAGGGAGTCTGACTCAAAGGGACTCTGACTCAGAGGGAGTCTGACTCAGAGGAGTCTGACTCACAGGGAGCCTGACTCAGAGGGGCCGGCTCACAGGGAAGGTCACAGTGTGGACGGCCAGCTCGCAGGGAGCCCGGCTCACAGGGAACGAGAAGACCTCACACAGCTCACAGGGAGGGCAGCGGGTGGCCGACCCAGCCGGCGCGCGCGGCGGCGCAGGGCGGCGGCGGCGGCGGCGGCGGCGGCGCGCTGGCCGCCGTCGGCACCACCCAGACGCCGATGACGCCGCCGGCGCCGGCGCCGGCGCTGGCCGCCCGCTCGGCCGGCGAGACGCGCGTCTGCCGGCGCACGTGCAGGTGCACCACGCCCTCCGTGTCGCCGTCGTCGTCCCGGCCGAGCGCGCCACCCTGCTGGTCGTCGTCGAGCTCCTCGGCGCCGCAGCCGAACAACAGCGCGTAGCGGCGCCGCAGCTTGGCGTTGTAGTAGCCGAAGAACCAGCCGTCCATGGCGAAGGCGATCAGGACGAGCACCGAGGCGACGGCGATGAGCGCGGGCGGCTGCTGCTTCCACAGCAGCTCCAGCAGCAGCACCACGTTGGCCGGCGTCTGCGCGCGCACCACGGAGAGGGGGTCAGTGGGGGGGGGGGGGCGTCTGCGGCCGCACGGCGGGCACAGGGTCAGTGCAGGGATACAGGGTCAGTGGGAGCACAGGTGAGAGGAGCCTGGGACCCGGAGCAGCTTCCCCTGGGCTTCTGCTAGAGTTTCACAATGTCCAGATCACTCTAGAGTCTAGAACATATGAATGTCTGTAATGGAGTCTTAAAATATGCTGCGGTATATTACCTACTAGCAAAGGTTTTCCATGCCCCCTCCCCCTCCCCCATTCCCTGCTATGCCGATGATGATAAATGAATATTTTGTGGTATTTATGGGCCAGTAATGTGGTCAAAGTTGATGCGAGTTTTGAACTGCATAAGCTCTTGAACTGCGAGTAGGTCGCTCGCCAGTTTGCTACATTGGCAGTCAACTGCTGCCGCACAGGTCGTCTAGTCCCGGTGAGGGGCGTTTTACAGTGAGACAGCGCCAGGCTCAGGGTGAGCCTGGTCCGCCGGTGACCCCGCTCGGAGTGACCCCCGGCCGGAGTCGGTGCCCACCTGGAACAGGATGTAGACGACGGTGACGCGCAGCACGCCCCAGTAGGCGCTGACGTCCTCGCGGCTCTCGCGGCCCACCTGACGGCGCTGCTGGCGGATGTCTGCCTGGTGACGCAGTGCCACGCGGCTGATGACCAGGTTCACCGCCACGATCGCCGCGCACAGCGCGAAAATCGTGCCAGAGAAGGCCAGCTTCAGCCGCGACGGCATCACCTCCAGGAAGCGGCAGCGCAGCGGCGCCGGGCCCAGCGTGGCCAGCAGCGCGGCGCCCGTCAGCAGCCACATGGCGCCGGCGACCGCCCAGGGCGCCAGCAGCAGCAGCCAGAGCCGGCGCGGGGTCAGCAGCGCGCTGTAGCGCAGGCCGTGCACCACTGCCACGTACCGCTCCACCGAGACCACCAGCATGGCCACCGAGCCGCCGGTGCCGACGCTCAGGTTGTGGCACAGGAAGGCGGCGCAGAGGTGCGGCTCCATCTGGGCGCCGGCCATGTTGACGGTGCCCAGCACGCCGCCCCAGAGCAGGAACCAGGCCTCACACAGCGCCAGGTTGGTGATGGTGCGGAACATGGGCTGGCCGCGCAGCCGCCGAGACGTCACGATGGCCAGGATGGGCACGCTGGAGCTGGCGGCGCCCAGGTAGCCGATCAGGATGGTGCCCACGGGAACCACCTTGGACGTCATCGCGCCGCGGGAGCAGAGGACGGGGGACAGGGAGCAGAGGACGGGGGACAGGGAGCAGAGGACGGGGGACAGGGAGCAGAGGACGGGGAGGCGGGACAGACGGGGGACAGGGGACGGCGCGTCAGCTCGAGGGACAGAGCCAGCAGGGAGCGGACGTCGTCTTTCCTCAGTCGGCCGACGGCGGACGGCAGGAGGCTGCAGGAGTCGTGAACCGCGCTGAGCTCCTGTGGGTAGAGACACCCGACCTCAGGTAATAATGCGGCGGAAAGATATGAGACCTAGCTGCATGAAAGAAATGCAATTACAAGATGCGGGCAATTTTTAGCTCTCACCTGTAGTTTCCTTAGACAGTTTTCCGGGGCTATCAGACGCCGTTTGAATTTTGACAATCGGCCCAGGCGTTTCGGAGTTAGGAGGGGGGCTATGAATAGCCCCCCAGTAGGGCGCGTTATAAAGGCAGACGCACGGGGGGGGAGTACGACCCCCTCCCCGTTTCACAATCGTCCCTAATGGAACCAGAGCCTCGCGGAAAAAAAGAAATTGTGCTCCGTTACAAGACGCACCGATAGGTACCTGAGTTTAAGGTCTTAAGTCAACCGGTGACCTCTGAAGTCAGGTCAAGCGGCCCAAGGTACGTTTTTTTTTTTTTTGGTAAATAACTTCGCCGAAAATGGCCGCAGAGCCACGATTTTAGCATTAACGTTTTTGTATAGCTCAGGCCGAATAGTATACTTTTTGTCCGGGTGGAGCCAACTTATGTGTTGATCTCGGGTCAAGGTCAGGTCAGAGCCCGCCAGGTTACGATGTTGGTCGAAGGAGGTCATGTTGCATATCTTCCGATTCGGCAGGTCTTCCCGAGTCCATTGGTGGCTTTCTGAACTCGCTAGCTCCATTCGATCGGGAGTTATTGACGAAAAATCCTATGACCCTAGTGACGTCATAAAACACGTCAGAAGGGTCAACAATGCAGAAGTGAAGCATCGCACTTTGCAAGGAGTGCGTGAAATGACGATTTCGATTTTCGGGTGCTTTAGATAATTATAGATCACTCGTCGCCAAAATAACAGCTTCCATTTCCGTTTCCCAATTGACTTCCATTGACCCAATTGACCTAATGGTGAGGTCACGTGACCGACCTGACCTCATGTAACCTTAAGAAAAATCCGAGATATACAAGATGTGAGAGCTCTGGAGGATACTAGGTCCTGTAAGTTTCATCTCTTTGTGAAGTACAGCCCATTGCTAAAGTAATGTGCGGTTTTACTCTCAACGTATGGCTTTGACTAGCGATTTTGCAAAGTGATCGAAAGGAAGACGTCTATAGATAAAGTTGCAGCTGCAAGGGTGACGATACATGTAAGCAACATTCAAAGTTTCATTGTAGTCTGGCTAATCGTTCCGTTGCGACATTTTAGGACCGTGCAGAGGCTCGCTTATGACGTCATAGGTCAGTGACCCGACCTAACCTGAAAGTTCGGTTGGTGTCATAAGACCCAGCTTGAATAAAAGGTCAGGTATTTTAACTTTCACCTCTCTACAGGGCTGGTAAAAAAGCAAATTGCGTCCCCGACCAAAAAATGAGAGCGAAAAATGACCCCGACCTTTTTACGATTCATGTATGCAGGCTGCATGCAACTACGATGCGCGTTTACATAGGTTTCATTTCTATATTATTTTTTTACGAGCAGTCATATGTACTAAATTGCTTATCAGACTCGCGCTTCGAAATTTCCAGTTTGTTAATTAAATGTCACGGCATCACTCGTTCAGCGGGTAGCGTAACAGACGAAGAACCCGGAAAGGGTAGGGGGCGCTACGATCATCGAACAGATGCAATAGGTGTCGCTATTGTATCGGTAGCTCACAACGACGACGGCTAGAAACTATCGACCCCGCATGAATTTACCATGTCCAACCGGCCCGACCCCGGTTCCGAATCTAGTCGTTTGTCTAGTCGTATAGCTGGCTACAACTGGTCGTCAATCAACCCCGCTTGAAATAGCACAGCCGACAGCGGGGTCGGTGTCTAAGCGTCTGTTAGTATGTGTTTGATCATCTAGTTTGATCTAGTTTTCGTTAGCAACTGCCGACGGTAGTTTTGCTGTTAACAGAAGTGAGTTGTGGCTACTAATTGTTCATAACCATGTTGTAGGTATGTATTAGGTATAGGGGCTTTTTATGTCCTTGTTAAAGGGGATATACGTTGTGGATTCAATGATATCTTTTACTTGCGTTTAGTTTCTGCTTTATTTGAAAGTTATTTATTACTGAAGTTTACTAAATGTGGTAATTTTGAACCCGGGTACTTGAACTTTTACTGGTACTGTGTCCCCGACGACGTCAATAGGACATAACACTTTACCAGCCCTGCGGCTCTCTATATCTGGCGTGTTCCGAGCTATCGCAAAAAATCCAATGGAGAGTGGCCCCGCCCCCCTCGGGCGGCCCGCGCCAGTGTTGGGTCAATTCTCGGACACCATGTAGAGGCTTACTGCAAAAACTCTCAAGAGTCGAGTTTTCGGCTATAACTTATTTCTTTTTATGCGATGTCACATGATATACAATACCTACTAACAAACTATTAAACTGCATTATCGGATTTCCAAAAAGAAAATAATTTATGGAAAATTTAGGTACCTACACAGTAAACTCAAAAGTTAAATTTCGAAACTTCCTTCCATAACTGTTTGACATTTCGGAAAAAAACGTGCAATGGAGCACATACAGATGATGCCAGCATACATGATACCTACACAATAATGAGTGTGTTAACCAAATAAGACTAGGGGCTTGATGTGACTTAGGTATTTGGCGGCGGCCAGAGCCTAAAGAATAAAAATACCGAAATGTTGATAATTTTTGCTTTAGCCTGACCTGTGACGGCATTCTTGCCCTCGTTATCAATGAAACTAGGTTTAACGGGCTACCAAATGCCGCGTGAATTTTAGGTACAAAACGTATCAGTAGTTTCGGAGATAGGAGGGGGGAGGTGGCTCCGTAGAGTCACCCCAGTCACTCGCATTATGGAATATTCCCCAGTCATGCGCGACTTAATGACTATAATAACTGTAACTAACTTTAACCCTATTCCGGGCGGGCTCTGAAAGATTCGGTTTCGAGTGGGGCGTTTTCAGTCCCGTCCCCATCGTTGGAGAGACTGACGTAAAAGGTGATTGGTACTTCATCAAAATGCCTAAATTTTTACAAAAAAAATGGTTTGGAACCAAGTCAATATTGAACTCACCACAGGTCATCAAGAAGAAAATGTTCTGGAGCTTTTCGTTTCGGCATAAAACTATTGGACTAGGGAAAATTGAGACCAAGGGGTGTGTCATGTGTCGAAGGGCCACTGAGTAATGCCAAATTTGGCGCCGTTGCGTGCCGCCGTTTTTTTTTACGTTTTCTTGGAGAAATATTAGGGGGTTGCATCATTTAACCCTCGCCGGCCGAGAGGGGGGGGGGTGCCGCCCCCCCATAGGGTTTTTTCGCGATAGCTCCAAACACGCTGGCGATAGAGAGCTGAAACTTGGCATACCTGACCTTTGATCCAAGCCGCATCTTTTGACACCAACCGCACTTTTGGGTCAGGTCAGGTCACTGACCTATGACGTCATAAGTGAACCTCTGCACGGTCTTCAGATGTCGCAACTTCGCAACGCCCTCACTGCCAGAGGAGATGTCACAGGGAAATGAAACTTGCAGAATCTAGTATCCATTACGAGTCTCACAACTTGTATATCTCGGATTTTTCCTAAAGGTCATATGAGGTCAGGTCATTTTCGTGACCTCACCATTATAAGTCAATGGGGAAAAACGAAAACTGCTATTCTGGCGCCGGGAACGATCTCCAACTATCTCAAGCACACAGAATCGTGATTTGATGCACTCCTTGCAAGGTTAGATGCGTCACTTTTGCAATGTTGACCTTGCGTGACGTCATTTATGACGTCATCAAGGTCTTATTAGTTTTTCGTCAATAACTCTTGAACAAATTGAGCTAGCGAGTTGAGAAAGCCACCAATGGACTCAGGAAGACCTGCCGAATCGAATGATATGCGACATGACCTCTTTCGACCAACTTCGTGACCTGGGGGTGCTGACCTGACCTTGACCTGAGGTCAACAACCAAAGTTGACCTGACCCGGACAAAAAGTATATCATTCGACGCGCCTGAGCGAGGCGAACACGATGCTGCCAAAATCGCGGCTCTGCGGCCGTTTTTTGCGAAGTTATTCACCAAAAACTGAACCGTACCCTGGGGCACTTGACCTGACCTCAGAGGTCACCGGTTGACCTAGGACCTTAAAATTGGGTACCAATCTCTGCGTCTCGTAACGGCGCACACGCTCGTTTTTTCCGCGACGCGCTAGCTCCACCAGGGGCGAAACGGCGAGTGGGGGTCGTACCCGCCCCCCCCCTCGCCCCGTTGGGGGGCCATTTTGGCCCCCCCCCCCTGTGGTTTTTCCTGAATAGCAAGAAAACGGCGGCGCGCAGCGCCGCCAAATTTTCAGTACCTTCCCGGGCATCAATTTGACACCTTCACACCAAATTTCAAGTCTTAGGTCACCTTAGGTCAGGAGTTATTGAGGTCAAACTGAGGTCATGTTCGAGCAAAAATGACCAAAAAACATGCAATCTTGAAACGCTCACCAAATCTACAGTTATCAAGCAATTTCAAAGTTCTTTATATGGTCTAGTAGACAAAAAGCGGCGCTACAAAACTGCTATCTCAGATTTAAAAAAAAATTGGTTTTTGACCAAAACAAAATCAAAAAATTGATTTTTTTGAAAAACTAAGAAAAAATCCAAAATTTTTCCGAATTTCGAAAAAAAAAACCGGAATATATGTGATAGTCCCAGCGCTTTTCTATATACATACCAAATTTCAGATCGATATCTCGTTTTTTGGCCAAGTTATAGCGAAAAAACTGTTCAAAAATGATGACGTCAAATTTTTGAACTCAATTTTTAGCGATTCTAGACCACGTACGGCAAAACAA